TGTTGATAAAGCCAAATCTATAATTTCACTACAAAATATAATGTCCCCTTATATCTTTATGTATATATATAATTTACATACTACTAGTATTCCAAGTAGCTATTATATTACTTGTTAGTTATTAGCATTATTCCAGTTAGCTTTGTCCAACCTGTATTTATACCTATCTCTGAATTTCTATCACAATAATTCAATTTGCATTAGCCAAGTTGAACATTAATTTTTTCAACTTAATAAGTTAGCAGTTTTTTACTAGTGCTAGGTGCATCCTACTTACAAAAAAAGGTATCAAGCATCGGTATATTGTCTACCTTGGTCCTGAAATAAATTCATAGCTAACAAAAAGCCTTGCCCTATAAACTAAAAGTGCTTCAAAACTGTCACTTCTACTATTCTGTGACAGCAGTGAAAATGCCATACCTGGCTTATGATATGTAGCAATCATCTACCACCCTTCCCAATCACAAGAGCTATTTGGATACCTTCTGCTAGATCTTTTAGGTATTTAGTATCTTTTTTATTCCTCCTGAAACTGGTGTCCAGAGTTGATCAGCTGGAGAAAGACAGCACATGCCCTATATTCCGAGAAAGTCTGCCCACTGTGTTTCTGTAGGGTTCATCTCTCTATTCTGGCTCTTTTGATATTCTTTAGTTCTTCATAGTTAATTCCTATGGGAGTCATATTTTTGCCTGGTATTCTTACATGCTTACCTAGAACCACTCTCAATCCTATTGCCCCAGGCGTTCATTTCCTTCAGGCCTTAATCACTGTAAAAATCCTCCTGGAAACAGATGGGTTGGTAGCACCTCTATTTAAAACTTCATCTGTGAATGTCGGCTCCTTTCCAAAGCTCACCACAGACTCCACCCCTGGTGATCTCACACTGTTGCCTATTTCCCACTAAATTCTCTTTGCTGTTAGTCAAAAGTCTCTGACCAGACATCACCACCATCACCACCCGCTTTCTTTAAAGTACTAAAAAACACCATGGGACTATAATTGTCTTTCCAAACTAAGGGCAGTGGCAATTCTGAGGAAAAATGACCCTTATTCAACAAATAAAGGCTAGGAGAGAAAAAAGACTATTACATCAGACCTGTCAACTAAATGCAATATATGAACCTTTTTAAGATTTTGATTCAAACAAGCCACTTATAAAAAAGACACGGGGCTGGGGATTTAGCTCAGCGGCAAAAGCACCTGCCTGGCAAGCGCAAGGTCGAGAGTTCGGTTCCCGTTACCGGAGAAAAACCAAAAAAAAAAAAAAAAAAAAAAAGACACTAAAGTAATCAGAAAAAATTGAATAATGATTGGATATTAGGTTATATTAAGAAATTATTATTCATTGTCTCAGGTGTGATAATGATCTGTGATTTTTTTATATGTCCTATTTCTTAGAAACACTGGGCCTTTGCTTTGAAAAAAAGAAAAGAATGTCATTTTCTTTGTCTAGATCAGGTCAATGGGAATCTGTACTATAATTAATACATGTTATTTTCTTTATTTATTTTTATTTTTTTATTTTTTTGGTTTTTCTCCGGTACCGGGAACCGAACTCACGACCTTGCGCTTGCCAGGGAGGCGCTTTTGCCGCTGAGCTAAATCCCCAGCCCCAATACATGTTATTTTCTATCTGAAACAAAATATAGTAATAATTTTATTCTTAACATATCCATTATTCTTTTTAACAAACAATTCAAATCAAAAGCAATGCATGGTACTTACCTTCTCTTTGCTCCAAACTTCTATGAAACTACTGTGAAAAGGCCTAACATCATGACTTGTGGTAAGTAAATCTGAATGAACATGCTAACATGCTCAGGTTTATAGAAAGCAGCCTCCAAATACAGATTACTCTAGAGATGCTAAGAAGTGATATACTGATCTTATCATTCACATGATTCAGCTACAAATGAATTTGAACAGAGTTCAAATGTACAACTGTCAAATTCATAAAAAGTAGAAAAAAATTTCAAGTAAAAGTTTAGGCTTCTCCTTGAACAAGAATACCTTGTTTTAGAAAATCTAAACTATCCTGTTAATGTTTTATTTCTTCAGTGCTAACTTGTGACAAAAAAACTAAGTACTTTCATTTCATTTATAGATGTTCCTGTGAAGTCAATGTGATATCTGTGAAACTTTTATGAGTTAGTAATTGGTACTGTTAGTATTGGTACTGAGGAAAATCTGAAAAATCACTTCCACCAATATTACAGAGTTTATTAAAATCAATTTGATTTGCTGAAGTAATACACTGTAGAATGGTTAATCTCCAACACAAAATTTAGATCTCAGTTTTAATCTTAGCCCTGTCATTTACTAGTTTGCCCTCACCTAGGTTTCTTTACCATCTGTAAGATGGAGTTTGTTTGTTTTTTTGTTTTTTTTTTCCAGTACCGGGAATCAAACTCACAACCTTGAGCTAAATCCCCAGCCCCTTGTAAGATGGAGTTTAAAAAAATACCTATTCCATTGTATTACAAGAATTTAAAAATTAAAGAAATATGAACTATTATGATTGATTACTACCTTTTGGGGATATTATGTTTGACACAATATTACTATTTTACTGCACTCAAGCGGAATAAAATTACACACAGACTAAATACTCCACTGAACTTTCAATGATGCCAAGGCTTTCATAAAAACTGGCCTGGTTCTGAGATATAGAGGATGCCTAACAGGTATAACCTCAGGCTATTGAAGCAGATTCATTTAATAATCTATGCAACATAATATGCCAGTATCAGAATTGCACATAAGATATGAAAGTGAAAGTCACTTTCTCAGCATCCAGAAGACAGATTGAATTTCAGTTAGGTTTTCCATTCAAGTAAGTCTCCAGTAGAACTCCTGTCACAATATGTGGTGTTAACATCCTGATCGCCTCTTGCCAAACTTCTTTCCTTTCTTCCTCCCTCCCTCCCTCCCTCTGTCCCTCTCTCCCTCCCTCCCCCTCCACCTTCCCCTCTCCTTCTCCCGTCTTAAATTTTTGAGACAGGATCTTGTTATATAGTTCAGGCCATCCTTGAACTCATTGTGTATCCCAGGTTGCTCTCAAACTTGCAGCAATCCTCCTCCCTCACCCTTTCCAGTGCTGAGACTACAAGCATGCACCACCACACTTGGAAAATTTATTTCTTAGTATTAGCAAATCACAGGTAAAACAAAACTAACCCATAAGAACAATGCAATAATGTATTTTTTCCTTATTTATTATTGTATTTTACCTTCACAAGGTCACTTAGCAACCCAGAACATCTTATCTATGACTTTTGGTATAAAAATAACTACTTGAAACTTTTCTTTGACACATATAAAATAGATGTAAAGACTTGGTGATTTCAAGTTAAACATTTAGGGATAGAACACTAATAGGTAATATTATATATTTTTTTTTTAATTTTTTTTTTGTTTTTTTCCAGTACTGAGAATCGAACTCATGACCTCACACTTGTCAAGCAGGTGCTGTGCTGCTGAGCTAAATCCCCAGCCCCTAGTATATTTTTATATAGCATTTTTTATACTATTTAACATAAAACTTCAGTGTTAGGCTGACAATGATGTGGCAGTCTTAGCCATTCTAAACTATGACTAGGAAATAGTGTGTAGGGCATGAGTTATATTTTATGCAGCGTGTTCGTCATTTTTAAACCTTTTTATGAGTTAGTAATTTCAATAAGAATTGCAAAAAAATTCTAAATGCATCATTCTTTCTATAGTCTGACTTTTTTCAGTAAAGCAGAGCCTTATTAACCACAATTAATTGATGACCCTGAAATATGACTCCTACCTAAAGGAAAAAATGAAAACTAACCCTTTATTTTTAGGTACTAATTTTCAAGTAAAGATAACTTAGAGGCTAATGGAAAATTTTTAATTTGGGTTTTAAATGAAAATTTATTCATATAAAGAGATTGTTAATTGAAAAAAGTTACAAAACTGTAAAGAGTATGATATCATTTTGGTAAACATACACACACAGGCGTGCATGCATACTCATATACAGGGCAAAGGAGTTGGTACCAAAGTCTAGGTAGGAACTAAATGTGGTCTACATTATTGTAGTAACATTGAAGCTACTTTTTTTTTCCAATCTGATTTGTTTTTAATTAAGTATTATGGTCATATGCAATTTCATGCTTATGTTATACCTTCCCCACTATTAATCCTTCTAATGAGCTAACAGGAAGCACCACTACCAATCACACATACAACAGTAGTTTCACTTTTGTATTTTTAAATAGCTGTTTAAATACTATCCTGAATAATAACTCAGTCTGACCTAAAGAATTCAAAAGTTGGAGCCGGGCATGGTGGTACATTCCTGTAATCCCAGCACTGGAGAGGCTGAGTCAGGAGGATTGAACCCTGTGAGTTCAAGGCCAGCCTGGACTACAAAGTGAGTTCAAGGCCAGCCTGAACTGTTACATCTATATTTTTGGTCTTGACTATGCTAATTTAATTAGAATTCTCTGCATCTAAAAAGCACTGCCTTTTACTTACAGAAAGGCATTTTAGTGTGGTGTATGTATAATACCAAATAAAGAATATTTAACAACTCCCTTTAACAGGCTCATAAACACAAACTGAAACAGGTAAGTCTTGCTTGGTTTTGAGACAATGAAGGATTGCCCTATATTTAAGCATATTCACAGAACCAGTTATATAAACCTAAATATAAAACCAACCTTCAGTAAGTTTTGAGATGTCATTCTCAATCTTTGTGAAAGGTCGAACATTACTAATCAAGTCCAACCATATATTTAGAAAGGGAAAACAGTGATAGTATTTACTGAACTGGAATTACTATCAAAACTTGGGGGGGAAAAGAATCCTTTTAACTACAAGCCAATTTTACTTAAATCAGGACTGTCCAACAAAAATATTCTGTCAGCCACTCATGATCTGAATTCTGGTGTGTGAGATCTATTAAATTATTGTACACATAAAAAAGCCACGAGATGTTTCTGTTCTGTAATAAATAAGGCAGTGACTGTTACTCATTAGTAGCCTTTTTGAGGTAAGCAATTAAGTCTGCCCTCTTTCCCTTCATGATGCCAGGGAAGATCATTTTTGTTCCGGGGATGTACTTCTTGGGATTCTCCAAATACTTCATCAATGTATCCTCTCCCCAGGTGATGCCTTTGTTCTTGTTGGCATCTGTGCAAGAGAATGCAACAGCCTGACCGGTCTTCTGCCCAAAGAGACCATGGAGGTTTGGCCCGGTCTTGTGCTTGCATCTCTTCCCAACAGTGTGGCACTGGGCACACTTCTGTACAGAAATCTTCTTGCCTTTCTCAACATCCATTTTTCAACCTGCTGCAGATTCCGCGCTGGGTGATCACTGCTCTTTCCTTGTTACAAGGAAGGTTTCAGTTCAGAAGCCAGATGTCCTGCTCTCTATGGAGCTATTTTTATAGGCTTTGATGCTCACTTAATGTTGGGGTTGAGGAAAAAAGTGAAAATCAAGAATTGTCGGGGCTGGGGATTTAGCTCAGCGGCAAAGCGCCTGCCTGGCAAGCGCAAGGTCGTGAGTTCGGTTCCCGGTACCGGAGAAAAACCAAAAACCAAAAAAAAAAAAAAAAAAAAGAATTGTCTTCAGGTTTCTGACTTTGGGTAATGGGAAGATTAAAGAATAAATTGCTTTCAGAGAAAATAATGAATTGAGAAAAGCAAAATATATACCAGATATTATAATGGATTTCTTTTAAATTTTCCAACAAATAAAAAATAAGTTACCTCTGCCTTCTCAAGAATACATTTTTTTATTGTGGAACTGGGACTCAAACCCAGGACCTTGCACTCGCCAAGCAGGTGCCCTGCCCAAGCATGTTCCTGCCCCCCCTTTTAAATTCTTGAGTACCCCAAATACTTGAATATTTCTGGGCAGACATCTAAGATGTTATGATTAAGTTTTGATGGGAGAGGTGGAACAAAAGAGGAAGCCCAACTTTCTACCTGAGCAACTATGTGTATCACTCACTGAAATGAGAATACAGCATAGAACACACTCTCCAATTCATATTTTGAAGTTTTATATCTGATTACTCAACTACCTCTTTACTTTTCCACTTGTATGTCTTATGATTGTCTCAGGCCTTACATTCTAGATATATTGTGATGGCAGTCCACTGCCTATTGCGTGTAGATGCGAAAAGAAAAGGACTCAAGGATGGCAATAGGCTTTGGTCTTGAGCAACATGGTAGTGGTGATACCATTGTTAAGATTGAGAGGAACAGGTTTTTTCAGGAGTGAATCAAGTGGTTTGTTCAGGGTATGTTCCATTTGTTGTGTCTGTGAGACATTTAAAAAGATAACTCACGTAAGAAGCTGCATGTACAAGTCTGATCCTCTCGGCTAAAAAGTTATCTCAGGTGAGCTGCTACTCCCATTTTTCACCTTTCATATTTCTGTGCTCTGCACTACTGCATGGGCTGCCATTTATTCTAATATGCACATTTGATCATATCATGATCCTGGTTAAAATATCTGAAAAACTTTCTATAAAAAATCCGAAATTCTTAATACAATTTATAAATACATCCCCCATCCATATCTCATCTCTTTCCACGCCTCAGCCTTGATGCTCATGACTTCCGTGCCCCATAATGTCTCATGCTTTACTATGTTTCAGTGCTATGATTCGCGCTTGCTTCTTAGCTTGAACAATCTATTTCTTGCTTCTTCGTTCCATTCATGTTTACTCATTCTTTAACTCAGATAGCACCTACCTTGAAATGCCTTACCATAAAGAAATCTCCCAGAATATAGGTCAGGTATATTTGTCCACTAAGGATCATGTTTTGCCATGGAACAGAGACCCAACGATGATGTCTTAACTACATAGGGGCTAAGCAGTTGTGTTAGTCCATTTTCTATTGCAAGTAACACAGTACTGCAGACTGAGTTATAAAGGCTTTATTTTGACTCATGGTTGTGGAAGTGCAAGGTCAAAGGGAACAGCTGATGATTACATCTGGTAATGGCCTTTTTGCTGACATAGTTGCAAGATGGCCCAGGACACCGGAAGGGAAGAGATAGGAAGTATACACATATATAGGAAGTTTGCATGGGTATACGTGCACATGTCTGGTCTCTTCTTATAAGTCACCAAGATTCAATAATAATAACAACCTTACCTAATCCTAATCATTTCCCAAGGGTCCATTTCTTGACACTACAGTGAACCCAAAGAAATTCACAACCAATCACATTATAATGAAATGGATCAAAGTCAAAAACTAAAAGCAAATTTTTAAAGCTAGAGAAAAATGACTTTTCCTATATAAAGGAACATTTATAAGACTATAAACCTATTTTCCTATGGAAACTTCACAGGCCAAAAGGGATATAGTAGAGTTAAAGACTTTTTCGGACAAAGGAAAGCTGAAAGAGTTTATTACCACAAACCATGCCTTACAAAAAATGCTAAAGGAAGTTATTCAGGTTAAAATGAAAGGTTACTAAACAGCCAAATGGCATAAGAGAATATAAAATGCATTGGTAAATGTAAACATGTTCAAAAACACAAACTACTATGTGACTGTAAGGATGGTGAGTAAATCACTTTTATTCTGGTATAAAACTCAAAAGGCAGATATATTAACATAACTTTAAAAATGTGAAAAGTCCCCCAATACAAACAGATTGTGACAACAGTAACAAATGTAACTGAGCAAAGAAGTTAAAAGTATAGATTTGTATTTGATAAGATTTAGTTGTTATTAGCTTAAAATAGACTGTTAAAATTGTAACATGTTTTATGTAAGACTCAAGATAAACACATATAAGGACATGAAATACCTATAGAAGTTACAGGAGAGAGAAAAGAATCCAAGTATATCAACAGGCATGTGCGCACGGGCACACACACACACACACACACACACACACACACAAAGACACAAAGGAATACAAAAAGACTAATGTTTACAAGATGCTCACTTTACATTTAAAGACACAATATAAGTTTTAATTTAAAAGTTAAAAAAATATATTCCATGCAGTTGATAAACAAAAGTATATAAAGTATATAAGGTTGGCTATTCTGGAAAAAAATAGTCTGTTGCTATAAAAAATAAAAAAATAAAACTATCACATGAGACAAAGAAGTACATTTTCTAATGGTGAAACAGCAAATTCACCAAGGCTATACAACAACTGTAACTATGCAAGGGATGATCAAAATATATGCAGAAAAACATTCAAGTTTTAAAAAGTGTATTATAGTAAAAGACATTACCATTAACACTTCTCAAAATACTCCCCACTTATAAGACACTTATCCCATCATCTTGCTACTTTCTGAAGCTGTTTTAGAAATCCTGTTTTGTTATTGAGGAAGATATTTAGATTGAAATGAAAGTCACTAAGTAACCAAAGAACATAAGAAAACATACGGTTAATGTAAATATGTCTAAAACCACAAAATACTGTGTTACTGTAATTGTGGTAGGTAAATAAATTTTATTCTGGTATAAAAGTCAAAAGGCAGAAGTGTTAAAATAACTTTTAAAATGTGAAAAGTAATACACATAGATTGTGACAACAATAACACAAAATATGTTAGAAGATCTGATCAAACAGGGTGGTGAATGCTCTTTCTAAGTGCTATCAGTGGTAAAGGAGGCTTAAAAAAAAAATCAGTGTATCCTCTTCCACCTTACCTGGCATCCAGATTTGGCACTATGTGACTTCTCACTCTTACCTAATGGCAAAGTGATGATGAGAGGTAAACATTTTGAATTGATTCAGGACACTGAGGCAGCCATGGCAACACAGCTAAAAATATTCATGAAAGAAGAATTCCAGAACTGCTTCAGAAAGGAGCAAGAATGATGGGATAAGTGTGTTTGAACCCAGAGTGAATATAGTATTTTGAAGTGGATTAATGCCAATTTGTCTTTTTACTGTAATAAATTTTAAAAATTTAAACATTCACCATATTTTTTAATCATACCTTGTAAAAGCATCTAATATCAGAGCACCAAAACACATAAAGCAAATGTTGACTGAACTGAAGGAAGAAGTAGAAAATAATACAATAACAGTAGGAGATTTCAGTGCCTCACTTTCAGGACAGAACCATCTGGACAGAAAACTAGACAGAATGTCCAGACAGAAGACTAACAGAAAAGCAGAGGATCTGAACACAATTTAGACCAAATGGACCTCACAGTCATATACAGAATACTCCATCTGACAGATTAAGCACATACCAAGTATCTTTCTCAGCTGCAATGGAAGAAAATAGAAATTAATAGCAGAAGGAATTTGGAAAATTCATAAATATGTAGAAATTGGCATAGTCTTGAGGCCGGCTGTGATGACGCACGCCTGTGATCCCAGCACTTGGGAAGCTAAAGAAGGAGGATTGCTGTGAGTTCAAGGACAGCCTGGGCTACAAAGTGAGTTCAAGGCCAGCCTGAACTGCATAGTAAAAGCCTGTCTCAAAAAAACAAAACAAAACAAAGAAACATACTCTTGAACAACAGTTGGGTCAAAGGAAATCAGAAAGGAAATTAGAAAATACTCTAGACAAATTAAGACAAACAAAAACATCAAAATTTAGAGAATGTAGCAAAAGTACTAAGAAGGAAATTCATAGTTCATAGATGACCAGCTGCGTTTAAAAAGAAGAAAGATCTGAAGCAATCTAAATTTTCACCTCAAAGAGCTAAAAAAGAAGAAAAATCTAAGCCCCAAGTTAGGGGCTAGGTATTTAGCTCAGGGGCACAGCTCCTGCCTGACAAGCATGAGGTCATGAGTTCAGTTCTCGGCACCAAAAAAAAGGTACCAAAAAAAACCAGTAGAAGGAAGGAAATAATTAATATCAGAGCAGTAGTAAGTGAAATATAAAATTTTAAAAATTAAAAAATCAGTGAACCTGAGATTTTTTTCTGAAAAGATAACTAAAATTGACAAATTCTTAGAGGAGTAACAAAGAAAAATAAGTCTCAAAATCTTGGGGTTATCATCTTAACATGTTTTTTGATTTTTATTTTGTTAGTACATGTTTGTAGTAGGTGTTGTTTTCTTACAGGGAGTCGGTACTCATATGTAACACATCTTAATGATTTTTCACTCTCTTCCCTTTTCACCCCTCCCTTCTCTATCCATTTTTTGGTCCCTTTCCCTTTTACAAAAGATCTGCAATAAATCCTCAACAAAGTTCTAGCAAACTGAGTCCAACAGTACATCAAAAGGTCATGCTCTGTGACCAAGTGGAGCTTATGCCTGGAATATGAAGAAAATCAAGTAATGTAATCCACCACATTAACAGAATAAAGAAAGTCACAAGAGCATCT